GCTTATCTGTTCCCTGTCTTAGCAACCAAGGAAGCTAGCTGCCTGTTAAGATGATTGAACCTAGGATGGAAACAGCCTGGATTTCTGAGTCACTGTATGGATGATTGCTGGTCTGCAACACTTATGAAAATTGCACAGGACTTTTTGTGAGTAAGAAACAAAACTTTACTGTGTAAAGCCAGTATAATTTAGTATTGTGGCCTACGTAGTCTAAACTACTCTGTCACATACAGAAGCATACAAGTTCATGTATTTTATTCTCATGTTGTGTTCCTTTTTATAGCTTATCCTTATTAAGCCCTTAGTCTTACACTCTATGTAACACTGATATTGCTATATCAACTTTCTTTTGATTAGTATGTTCCTCTATACTTCTGATCATCCCATTATTTTCGAACCTTTGTTTTATTTAATGCATGTCCTTTATAAGATAACTGGGTATATTTTAAAATCAGAGCTCATAGTTCTTTTTCTTCTGTTAGGCAGTTTAATCCACTTATACTATTGGGATTACTAGTAGATTTAGACTTATTTCTATGATTTTATTGTTATCAAGCCATTTAGTTCCAATTTTAATGAAAGAACCGCAGTTCTTTATAATATCAATTGATATTATAGTCAGTAGCTCATACAATTTGCTAGTCTGTTTTTAAAGAAACATTTTCTGTCTTCATTGCTGTTTTTACACAGGCTTTTCCCTTTGGGCTCACCATTCATCTTGATGAGGTACATATACTGCTTTCATAATTTTCTTTTTTTTTTTTTAGGTTAAGGTCTGTAGATAGCCAGCTCCATTAGACTCTTCTATGTCTGAAAATGTCTTTATTTTGTCTGTCACCCTTGAATGATAGCTAGGTATAGCATTAAGTTATTTTTCTGCAGCGTTTTCTGATATTACTTCACTAACTTCTGGTGTCTAAAATTGCAGATGACAGGTTAGCTCTTAACTCAACATTCCCTTGTAGGTAATTTGCCTTTTCTTTACAGCTTCTTCCAAGATTCTTTATCAGACATTCTGAAATTATACTACAATATGTCTAGAATTTAAAAAAAATCTAATATTTGAATTTAACTTTTGCTCTGAGAGTTCTGTTTTTCAGTTCCTGAAAATTTTTTTTTTAGCTTTGTTGAGATAAAGTTGACAAATAAAATTGTAAGATATTTAAAGTGTACATGGCAATGACTTGATATATGTACACATTGTGAAAGGACACCCCCCATCAAGTTAATGAAAACATCCATCACCTCATGTATTTGCTTTTTATTTAGAACATTTTTGTTTTGGTGAGAACACAAGTTCCACTCTCTCAGCAAATTTTAATTATACGAATAGTGTTATCAACTATAGTCACCATGTTATACATTAAGATTTTCTTTTAAAAATTATTGATTTATTATTATTGTTGTTGTTTTGAGCCATGCCTTGGCTTGTGGGATCTTAGTTCCCTGACCGGGGATTGAACCCGGGCCCTTGACAGTGAAAGCACAGAGTCCTAAGCACTGGACAGCCAGGGAATTTCTGTACATTAAGATTCTCTTAAAACTGAAGGTTTGCTCTGTCTCCCTGATGGTGGAATATGTAGATAAATTATTTGGAATAATCCTCTATGGGAGTTTAGTCTCTTCTCCCTCATTTATTTAATTATTCAACCATTTTAATAAATAAATGGACTCAATATTTATTTTAGACTTTGTGTGATAATCCAATTGTTACTTTATTCCATTAGTCAACTTGTTCCCATGCACTGTATTTATTTTTATCTGAGAAATTGTGAATTGTGGCACAATCAGATCTTCTTTGCTTTGGTTTCCAGAAAACTTAGTGCTATGTTTGTGGCCTTACAAAAATTGTTCAGAAATTGATACATTTTAACATTAATCTGACTTCCTTCTCCATCCTCTGTCTGTAGACTCATTTTTCTCCTCTCCACTTTCTTCTAATTCATATTATCTTACTGTGTTTTATGAAAATGTGTTTATAGGCCACTTTACTTTTTTTTTTTCTTGAAAGAAGGCCAGAAGTAGTTACCTGTACTTATTTACCTTCCTTCTTTCTACATTATCTGCCTATCCCATCCCTTTCTGCATATTAAGGGGCCACTGCCAATGCTCTCTCTGGAATCCCAGCTCTAGGACCCTACTCCTGGCCCCTGCTGGACCTGGCTTGCTGTGAACAGGCCCTGTAGACCTGTGCCCAGTGTTGGAGAGCTCACTGGCTAGGCTTCACATCTGGGTCTATTGCTGGCAGGACTGGGGGTTGGATGGAGCAAGATTTCATCCTCAACGAAACTTATCGCGATTTCACTGTCTTTTTTGATTTTTGACTCATTGTTTCTCTGTTTCTTAAAAAACACTTTGTTGAGGTATGCTTGACATACAAAAAGTGAACACATTTGATGTATACAACTTGATCAGTTTGGAGATAAATATACACCTGTGGAACCATCACCACAATCAAGGTCATAAAATCATCCATCCTCCAAAGGTTTCCTCTCAACCCCTTTTATTAAAAATTATTTTTGCTTTTGTGATGAGAGCACCTAAGATTTACCATCATAAAAATTTTTAAGTATACAAGTATACTAAGTATACTGCAATTCAGTAGTGTTAACTATAAATCCTGCTTTGTACAGTAGATTTCTAGACTTTATTCACCCTGCATAATTGAAACTCTGTACCCTTTGGCTCAGGGCTTCCTGGGTGGCTCAGCAGTAAAGAATCTGCTTGCAGTGTAGGAGACACAGGAGATACCAGTTTGACCCTTGGGTGGGGAAGATCCCCCGGAGGAGGGCATGGCCACTCCAGTGTTCTTGCCTGGAGAATCCCATGGGCAGAGGAGGCTGGTGGGCTACCATCCACGGGGTCACAAAGACTCAGACATGGCTGAAGCAATTTAGCAACGCACCCTCTGACTCACAATTTCCTATTTCTCCCTTCCCTCAGTCCCTGGTCACCACCTGCTCCTATGCGTGTGGCAATTTTAGATTCTGTATAATGTGAGGATCATTCAGTATTTCTTCTTCTGTGACTGGTTTATTTCACTTAGCATATGTCCTCCAAGATCATTTGTTATATAAATAGCAGGATTTCCTTCCTTTTTTATGGTTGAGTAATATTTCATTATATGAACCATTATATGAAACACTCTCCGACATAAATCACAGCAAGATCCTCTATGACCCACCTCCCAGAATATTGGAAATAGAAGCAAAAATAAACAAATGGGACCTAATGAAACTTAAAAGCTTTTGCAAAACAAAGGAAACTATAAGCAAGGTAAAAAGACAGCCTTCAGAATGGGAGAAAATAATAGCAAATGAAGAAACAGACAAAGGATTAATCTCAAAAATATACAAGCAACTCCTGAAGCTCAATTCCAGAAAAATAAATGACCCAATCAAAATATGGGCCAAAGAACTAAACAGACATTTCTCCAAAGAAGACATACAGATGGCTAAACAACACATGAAAAGATGCTCAACATCACTCATTATCAGAGAAATGCAAATCAGAACCTCAATGAGGAACCATTACACGCCAGTCTGAATGGCTGCTATCCAAAAGTCTACAAGCAATAAATGCTGGAGAGGGTGTGGAGAAAAGGGAACCCTCTTACACTGTTGGTGGGAGTGCAAACTAGTACAGTCACTATGGAGAACAGTGTGGAGATTCCTTAAACAACTGGAAATAGAACTGCTATATGACCCAGCAATCCCACTTCTGGGCATACACACTGAGGAAACCAGATCTGAAAGAGACACGTGCGCCCCATGTTCATCGCAGCACTGTTTATAATAGCCAGGACATGGAAGCAACCTAGATGCCCATCAACAGACGAATGGATAAGGAAGCTGTGGTACATATACACCATGGAATATTACTCAGCCATTAAAAAGTATACATTTGAATCAGTTCTAATGAGATGGATAAAACTGGAGCCCATTATACAGAGTGAAGTAAGCCAGAAAGATAAAGACCAATACAGTATACTAATGCATATATATGGAATTTAGAAAGATGGTAATGATAACCCTATATGCAAGACAGAAAAAGAGACACAGATGTATAGAACGGACTTTTGGACTCTATGGGAGAAGGCGAGGGTGGGATGATCTGAGAGAATAGCATCGAAACATGTATGTTATCAAGTGTGAAACAGATCACCAGTCCAGGTTGGATGCATGAGACAAGTGCTCGGGGCTGGTGCACTGGGATGACCCAGAGGGATGGGATGGGTAACACATGTAAATCCATGGCTGATTCATGTCAGTGTATGGCAAAAGCCACTACCATATTGTAAAGTAATTAGCCTCGAACTCATAAAAATAATTGGGGTAAAAAAATAAACAGTGAGATGTTCTAAAAAAAATTTAAAAATATGGATTATACATATAAATTATATATAAATCAATTATATACATTTAATTATGCTAATATATAGTGAAATGTTTATATGAATTTATATTTTATATGAATGATGAACACTTAAGCTGTGTCCATGTCTTGGATATTGTAAATATGCTGCAATGTACACAGAGGTGCAGATTTCTCTTCAAAACTGACTTCATCTCTTTCAGATACATACTCAGAAGTGAGGCTGTTGAATTATATGGTAGTTCTTTTTTTTTTCTTTTTCATATTTGAGGAGCCTCATAGATCTCTGTTTCTTTATGGTTAGTTATTGGAGCGTTACCTCATTCTTGGTGATCCTTGTACCTTTGCGTTCTTGCTTTGGAATCTGTGCATTTGAGTAAGTGGTCTCTTCTTCCAGAGGGAAAGATGGTCTACAAGTCAGCTCAGTCCAGGGTACCAGCTGAGTCAGCTGGCAGCATCTGGAGGGTTTCACTGTCTGGTTTCTTGGTGGGTGAGGAGGACACTGCTTGTGCTGTGGATGCCACTGGCTGGGTCCCGAGTGGACCTCCGTGCACATGAAGGAGCTGGGTGGGCTCCCTGGTCAGGCTGGGGCCAAGCAGGGCACCTCTCCCAGGTCAGAAGAGGCTTCAGGGTGGTGTTCCCTGGCAGGGCTGCGCCAGGGGTTGGATTGTGCCTTTGGGCAGAGTTCCGGCCTGTGCTCCTTGCACTCCAGGTTGGATGAGGTGTTGGCCATTCTCCTCGATTGGATGATGCGGAGGGCCGGGCGCTGAATTCAGGCGCGGTTTCGCAGTTGGAGGCACCCACTGGAGCTGTGTTCTGAGATGGGGGGAAATGCGCACGGTGCCCAGAGTTGTGCAGAGCCACAGGCTGGCCTCGTGGTCAGGTAGGCCATTGGGTTTGATGGGCGGGGACGCTGTGGCGCCTCTGTAGCTGGGCGGGGTTAGAGGCGGGGTTGCTCGGGCAGCAGGCTGGGTCTTAATTCTGGTGTCTGTTTCCGCTGTGATCGCAGACTTGGTCCGGTGATTGGGCGGGGCCAAAAGCTGGGTTCCCTCTCTGGGCGAGGCCGCAGGCTGCGTTTAGCAGTCTGGCCAGGGCCAGATGCTGGTGGCGGGGGTATGCTGGGCTCCAAGGCTGCTCAGAGTAACTATTCCGGTTTCCTGGTCAAGTGCGGCAGCGGCTCTGCTCAATAGCTGGGCCTGTCTGCCGGCTTAGTCCTTGGCCGGGCGGCAGGATGTGCTCCACAGCTTTCAGATGTGTCTCGGGCATGGAACGTGGTGACTGTGCTCTGCAATCGGGCAGGTCTGTGCATCAGCAATGTGGGCAAAGCGTAGCTGCTCCTTTTACTCTTCCAATGTGCCTCTTGGTTTCTGCGGTCCACGGGGATGCTGCAGTTTCCCCCTGACCTTTCTGAGATTTTCATAGTGATGCCTTGCCTATGGATGGTTGCTCCGTGGGCTTCTTATAGAGATGAACTGAAGTCGGAACATTGATATGTCCTATCCATCTTGATGATGTCACAAGGGCAGAGAGCTATGGATTGAAATACTACCTGTTCTTTAGTAGTTGTGTGATCTGGGGCCAGTTAACCTCTCTGAAGCTCAATTTAAAAAGGAAATTTTTTTAAACGGAGATAACGAAGCTACCTTCAGTTCAGTTCAGTTCAGTCTCTCAGTCGTGTCCGACTCTTTGTGACCCCATGAATCGCAGTGCGCCAGGCCTCCCTGTCCACCACCAACTCCCGGAGTTTATTCAAATTCGTGGCCATCGAGTTGGTGATGCCATCCAGCCATCTCATCCTCTGTTGTCCCCTTCTCCTCCTGCCCCCAATCCCTCCCAGCGTCAGGGTCTTTTCCAATAAGTCAACTCTTGGCATCAGGTAGCCAAAGTATTGGAGTTTCAGCTTCATCAGTCCTTCCAATGAACACCCAGGACTGATCTCCTTTAGGATGGACTCGTTGGATCTCCTTGCAGTCCAAGGGACACTCAAGAGTCTTCTCCAACACCACAGTTCAAAAGCATCAATTCTTCAGCACTCAGCTTTCTTCACAGTCCAACTGTCACATCCATACATGACCACTGCAAAAACCATAGTCTTGACTAGATGGACCTTTGTTGGCAAAGTAATGTCTCTGCTTTTTAATATGCTATCTAGGTTGGTCATAACCTTCCTTCCAAGGAGTAAGCGTCTTTTAATTTCATGTCTGCAGTCACCATCTGCAGTGATTTTGGAGCCCAAAAATATAAAGTCTGACACTGTTTCCACTGTTTCCCCATCTATTTGCCATGAAGTGATGGGACCAGATGCCATGATCTTAGTTTTCTGAATGTTGAGCTTTAAGCCAACTTTTTCACTCTCCTCTTTCACTTTCATCAAGAGACTTTTTGGTTCCTCTTCACTCTCTGCTATAAGGGTGGTGTCAATCTGCATATCTGAGGTTATTGATATTTCTCCCAGCAATCTTGATTCCAGCTTGTGCTTCATCCAGCCCAGTGTTTCTCATGATGTTCTCTGCATATAAGTTAAATAAGCAGGGTTACAATATACAGCCTTGACATACTCCTTTTCCTATTTGGAACCAGTCTGTTGGTCCACGTCCAGTTCTAACTGTTGCTTCCTGACCTGCAGACAGGTTTCTCAAGAGGTGGGTCAGGTGGTCTGGTACTCCCATCTCTTTTGGAATTTTCCACAGTTTATTGTGATCCACAGAGTCAAAGGCTTTAGCATAGTCAATAAAGCAGAAATAGATGTTTTTCTGGAACTCTCTTGCTTTTTGATGATCCAGCAGATGTTGGCAATTTGATCTCTGGTTCCTCTGCCTTTTCTAAAACAAGCTTGAACATCTGGAAGTTTGCGGGTCACATATTGCTGAAGCCCGGCTTAGAGAATTTTGAGCATTACTTTACTAGCATGTGAGATGAGTGCAATTGTGAGGTAGTTTGAGCATTCTTTGGCATTGCCTTTCTTTGGGATTGGAATGAAAACTGACCTTTTCCAGTCCTGTGGCCACTGCTGAGTTTTCCAAATTTGCTGGCATATTGAGTGCAGCACTTTCACAGCATCACCTTTCAGGATTTGAAATAGCTCAACTGGAATTCCATCACCTCCACTAGCTTTGTTCGTAGTGATGCTTTCTAAGGCCCACTTGACTTCACATTCCAGGATTTCTGGCTCTAGGTGAGTGATCACACCATCATGATTATCTGGGGTGTGAAGATCTTTTTTGTATAGTCCTTCTGTGTATCCATGCCACCTCTTCTTAATATCTTCTGCTTCTGTTAGGTCCATAACATTTCTGTCCTTTATCGAACCCATCTTTGCATGAAATGTTCCCTTGGTATCTCTAATTTTCTTGAAGAGATCTCTAGTCTTTCCCATTCTGTTGTTTTCCTCTATTTCTTTGCACTGATTGCTGAGGAAGACTTTCTCATCTCTCCTTGCTATTCTTTGGAACTCTGCATTCAAATGGGAATATCTTTTCTTTTCTCCTTTGCTTTTCATGTCTGTTCTTTTCACAGCTATCTGTAAGGCCTCCTCAGACAACCACTTTGCCTTTTTTGCATTTCTTTTCCATGGGGATGGTCTTGATCCCTGTATCCCGTACAGTGTCACAAATGTCTGTCCATAGTTCATCAGGCACTCTGTCTATCAGTTCTAGTCCCTTAAATCTGTTTCTCACTTCCACTGTATAGTCATAAGGAATTTGATTTAGGTCATACCTGAATGGTCTAGTGGTTTCCCCTACTTTCTTCAGTTTTAGTCTGAATTTGGCAATAAGGAGTTCATGATCTGAGCCACAGTCAGCTCCCAGTCTTGTTTTTGCTGACTCTATAAAGCTTCTTCATCTTTGACTGCAAAGAATATAATCAATCTGATTTCGGTGTTGACCATCTGGTGATGTCCATGTGTAGAGTCTTCTCTTGTGTTGTTGGAAGAGGGTGTTTGCTATGACCAGTGTGTTCTCTTGGCAGAATTCTTCACTTGTGAGCTTTTAAACCCTGAGGAAACATTTTTAGTAGAAGATGTCCTGTGATAGCCTGGAAAGACTGGTGGTTTTATCCATGGTTTCTTAGGGTCAGTGGTCCTGGAAGAGCCAATCTGGGTGTTCTTTCATGAAGCTGTATCTCAGACAGTGGCAGGGCCTGTTGTCTCTGAAAGCTTGGCTAGAGTTGGTAGATCTGCTTCCAAGGAGGCTTCCTCACATGGCTGTTGTCCCTTATATGGCCTTATTTCCTCACCACATGGCCTTTCCACAAGAGCTTCTCACGAAAGGGTAACATCCATTCCCCAGAGCAAACAAGTGAGCAAGTGAGAGAGAGGTGTGACGAAAGGTTTTAAAAACATTTTTGTCTTTATTCCTATGTTTTTTTCCTTAACAGAGAGCAGTTTGCAAATGCTTCTCCCTGGCTCCTTGATCTCAATAACTATTATATGATCAGGTGGAAGCTCATTTTTTTGGTCACATTGAGGATACTTCAGGTTAGTCACTCAACCTATAGGTGGCTCGATTCATCATCAGTAGTCAAGAGGCTATTCTCATCGTCTTCCTCCTAATATCACAGTGTCACAGAAGCCATAGGATCAGCCAGTGTTTGGAAGCAGCTTTCTTCAGCTTCATTTTATGAATAAGAGAATCTCTAAGTCTCTGCCTTCCATCAGGAATTTTGGTTATACTACCCCACTTAGTGTTAAGTTCCATTGCATCCATGTGCTCTTCAAACTTATGCATTAGCCATTCTCTTTGGAAAAATCTTTTCCAAAACTTCACATGACTTTTTGCTTCACAGTTCTAGAGAAGCCTTTCCTGACTGACCCATTAAAGGTAAAACGTTACTCCTACCAAATGTATCTCCTACCAAAGTGTAAATTCCATGAGACAGGGACTTTGTTTAGTGTCTATGCACCTGTTACCCAGTGCAATGCAGAGAAACTGATTCAGAGTATATACTTAATAAGTATTTTAGCAAATAAATGTAAAAAAAATGATTGACTGAAATTATGGCAGTAGATGTAATAAGGTTGTATGTGCTTGAAAAGACAGAAAGGATGAAGACAGGAAATTAACATTGGTTGACAAACTATTATGCACCATGCATTGTAGTGGGATTATTGTTGTTCTCAGTCATCTCTGACTCTGACTCCACGGACTGCAGCACTCCAGGCCTCCCTGCCCCTCACCATCTCCCAGTATGCCTAAGTTCATGTCCATTGCATTGGTGATGCCATCCAGTCATCTCATTTTCTGATGCCCTCTTCTCCTTCTGCCTTCAATCTTTCCCAGCATCAGGGACTTTTCCAGTGGGTCATCAGTTTTCCCATCAGATGACCAAAATACTGGAGCTTCAGCTTCTGCCTCAATCCTTCCAATGAGTATTCAGGGTTGATTTCCCTTAAGATTGACTGGTTTGATCTCCTTGATGTCCATGGGACTTTCAGGAGTCTTATCCAGCACTACAGTTTGAAAGCATCAATTCTTTGGTGCTCTGCCTTCTTTACGGTCCATCTCTCACAACTGTATGTGACCACTGGGAAGACCATAGCCTTGATTATACAGACCTTTGTTGGCAGAGTAATATCTCTGCTTTTCAACACACTGTCTAGGTTTGTCATAGTTTTCCTGCCAAGAAGCAACTGTCTTCTGATTTCATGGCTGCAGTCACTATCTGCAGTAATTTTAGAACCCAAGAAGAGGAACCTTGAAGATATTATTTCCATTTAATCTTTGTGTACCTGTGAGACCAAGATCAAAGTCATACTGCTAACATGATCTGCAGTGATTTAGAGCCAAAGAAGAGGGAATCTTGAAGATATTATCTCATTTAATCTTCATATACCTGTAAGGACAAGATCAAAGTCATACTGCTAATTAGTGACAGACTGATTTCAGGGTCTGCGAATACTGAATTTATATAGCAAACATATATTTTCTTTCTTTTTTAAAATTTATTTTTAATTGGAGGATAATTGCTTTACAATGTTATATTGTTTTTTTCCATATAACCACTTGGATCAGCTATAAGTATTCATGTATCCCCTCTTTCTTGAACCTCCTTTCCTCCCACTGCTCCATCC